ATAATGATATGAGTCAATTAGGAATTATATAAAAAATTATATATTAATTTAATAAAATGAACAAATATAAATCTAAAATTCAAAATAATAACATGGACAACTATTACTAGAGGGAAGGAGCGAAAGAGAAAGTAATTACTGTTGAGTTTTATTTGCCCTGATTTCTTACCATAAATAGATTTTTCTTTTAGGAAAAGGTTTTGGATTGACTAATCCTTTTTTGGTAGGAAAATGTTTAGAACTCTATAAATAGAGGAATGTTCCTTCTAACTTAATTAGCATTCACAATGTAGTCTTAAGGGCTTTGAGAGTTTTGGTTAGAGGGAGAATTTGTGGGTCACAAGCTTGATACGTTATCACTTGTGAACCTTCCATATATTCTGAGTGAATTGGTTGAGGTTGTTTCTTTCTGTATTTTGAACTCTCATATTTATAGTGGATTGCTCATCTCCTTTGTGGATGTAGGTCGATTGACCGAACCACGTTAAATCTTTGTGTCTTTTGGTATATTTCTCATTGTCTTCTTACTCGTGGTCTTTTGAGGTTTGTTTTGCTAGCTTCCGCATTTACACATACTTATTTTCGGTCCTAACAATTACTACTTGGAAAAGCAGAATTATTGGTACATTAAATTTGTGAAAGTGTATTTAGGAGTTCCCTTCAATTTCTTAGTCTAGATTAATAGATTAATCAAGAGTTTTTTTTCATGATCGTTGTGTTTGAACTAGTATTATTTATGTATTTTGATTAGTTTTGTGAGATATTTATTATTTTTCATTAATAACATATATTAGTTAGTTATATACGCTAACCTAGGATAAATGAAAAAAACTATCTAAGTATTTCTGTCTCTATTATACCTTTATGTTCAAATTAATGAAGAGTTTGATTGTTGAAATTATGACGCATATGAGAATAATTATATATTTCAAATGTCAAGATATCATTTGACGGATCATAGAGTAATTATATATATTTTTGATAATTAAATTACAATTATTACAAGAGAATGATATTTGAACAGGTAGTCAATACTACTATGTAGTGTACATATCTAGATTCTAATAGATACTTAAGCCAGCTACTATCTCTTTGGTGACTGACAAATTCAATGTGTGGTTTGAATTAAATTTGAACGAGTTAAAACGAACTGACTTGATAAATAGGCAGGTTATTGACCTATTAAAAGTTACTTGAATTAAAATTGATTGGGCTGAAATGGGTCATAATCATATCAGTGGCATAGTCATAAATTTCATAAAGAATATTCAAACTTTGAATGATTATTTTTTTTAAAAAAAATGAACCTAAAGGGAATCTTACATGCCATACATACTTCTACACTCAATTGTCATCAAGCTACTACTCACTTCTGACTTCACACAAAAATATGCACTGTTAATATCTTACAGATTTTAAGCAAACTACAATAAAAAAAAATTTTTAATGAAGAGTGTCCAGTTGGACATCCTAAAACCACCGTAGCTTCACCCCAGAACCATATCTACCTTATTCTTCTAAGTGTTATTAAATTTGTTAGTTTTAATACTTTTTATGGGTACCTAAATTTATTTACTTTTTAATTATGATTTTGTATAACATATCAAACAAAGTGATAAGAGTGAGTTGCTTGGATAGTAAGCATTCTCTATCCTCACTTCTCAACAAGATTGAAGGCAAACCAAACTTTATAAAGATGATTTAATATTCTTCTTTCATATATTGGATGACACTATAACAATAATAATACAGGCTTTTTAATTCTTCAAGTAATCTACGTGGTGGTTAGGATGTACACAAACCTTATTAAGTAAGAATATAACAATGCATATGTTAAAGGAAAAATACTAGAATACAAAATTAGGATAATAAAAATTTGACTCATGAATTTGATATATTCAAATAGCGATATTGAAATAATATTGCATTAAATCTGATATGTTGATTTAATGATATTGAAATAGTGTTATGTTACTTCAATATAATGATAACTTATTGCAAATACTTGAAATTTGAAGAAAACATCAAAAAATAAATATGATCTTTTTGAAACAAATAACAATAAATTTTGCATAATGCAAAATGTTTGACAATTGGAAGACTTAAAGAATATCTAGTATTAAGAGAATGCTAGAGTGGTAAACGCCCCTCAATTCCTACCCTAAAAATTCTAAATTCGAATTACCAATGGATCAAAAAGGGTGGCCAATCATGGGAGGGTTAAAAATAGAAAATAGAAACAAAAACAAGCGATCGGAAGATATATACATATATATATATATATATATACACATATATATACATACATATATATATATATAAGAAGAGACACAAAAAAAAAAAGGTGGTAAGAAAGAATACTACAATTACTAAAAACTATTCAATTTCTCAACATTACAACGATCCCATGTTAAATAAGGTAAAAAGAGTATATTTTTGTGAAAATGATCCGAAATATATTTGAATTTTGACCAAAATTGTTATTACAATCCCAAATTTTGAACTAGGCCTATTACCCTCTATATTATTTAATACAATATTTTAAAGGTATATATGTGCACACATGGACAAGTTACTATTTTTCCTTTCACAATTTATATGACATTTTTAATGTTTTGAGAGTCAAACAGTTTAAGTTTGACCAGAAGCACATAGAATCTTCAATTTTTTTGAAAATTAGATTTATATTTTTGTACACTATGTAAAAAGTATTATGAGTCACAATAATTGATAATTCAAAATGTTTATAAAATCTATGAAAAATTTATGGTAAAAAATAGACTTGCTTGACTCTTGAAATCCGAAAGGTGACATATAAAATGGGACGGATGTAGTATTTATATGATGCAATATTTACGATGTCCACGTGGTTTAAAATACACTATTAAATAGTGTATGAGATAAAAGATCCTTCCCAAAATTTAAAATTATTACAACAATTTCAATCAATGTTCGAATATATTTAAAACTTTTTTCCCTAAATATTTATCCAAAAATTTCTTTACAAATAGAATAGTATATGATATATACTTTTAATATATATATATATATATATATATATATATATATATATATATATATATTATCCTTAGAAAAAATTGTGGGTCCCAACAAGCTATTGCTTTAGTGGCCTTATAGTCTATACAACCCTGCTCCACCACCGGCCCTAAAGTTTAGGATCCATATCACCAAGGGAGAATAAGAATAGAAACTCCGAAAACCGTAAAAGAAAATTTTTTTTTAACAAATTTCTATTTTAGTTACATATCAATCCAATTTTTTATTATGAAGTAAAAAGGATCGACTAATAAATAGGCTATCTTCTCTTTTACTAATGCAAATCATAACCTATCGATTGTCTTTGATTGAAACTTGTTAATGAGATTCGATCCAAACCTAGAATGTTGCTTGCTATGTTAGAAAGAAAATTAAAAAGTGATATCGAATAAAATTGATTTTAAATTATTCTTTTAAGTGAAATACATTGATTTTAAATTAGCACACTAATAATAAAAAAGAAGTAAATAATCCAAGGCATAGTCACTTTGAAGCTATTTCCCTATTAAATACTATTTTATGTTGTACAAAGATGACTGTCTCTTTAAGAATGGGATTTGGGAAGATAACTTAAAAGATTGAATTCTTAATAAATTCCTTATTATGAACTTAAAGAGACAAAGTTTGACTTATAAATTATAAAGATATTGCATGAGTCGAAAAGTACTATGATAACTTAATATACACATTTAATTTGATGCATGTATACGATGACTAAATTTGTTAGTCTATTTATCAAAGTTCCAACATATGTTAATTAATTATATTCGAAGATAAGTCAAAAAAATGAAAGATGGAGAACAAAATATATACTATGTATTATGTATATCGGAAATTACCGCAAGCAATTTTTTTTTTAATTAAAATACATAAATTTTAAAATAGATATGTTAAAACTGCAGCTCAACCCAATACTTTATTTCTGTCAAAGTATAATGTGAAAACTTACTTCACATATGGTACAACATTTGAACTCAAGGATAATGTCACGAAGTTTCACGTAGTTATAGTTGTATCGTAGAGAGTTTTGTGATACCTGGAGTTAAGTAAAATGATTGTGTTTGAAGCCATATTTTCTCCATATTAAGTAAGAGTATTTATATCTAAACACATAATATTTTATTCGGATTGTGATGGTATAGGGATAAGACATAAGTATCCCTTAATCTCGAGACACATTTTAACTAAATTAATATCTTATTACCTTCTAACCAATTTTGTATATCTTTTTGGCTTATGTGACATCCAAACATCTTTCACTCGCCTCAACTATATGGAATCATAGAGTGTGTCATGTAAGTCAAAAGATATACTCTATCTGTTCTAAAAAGAATGTCTATATTTCCTTTTTAGTTTGTTTAAAAAAGAATGTCCCCTTTCCTTTTTGACAACACTTTAACTTTAAGTGGCCTGTTTAAGACCACAAGATTTAAGGGAATTTTGGTACATTTTGACATAACTTTAATTTAGAACCACAAGATTAAAATTTTTTCTTTCTTTTCTCAAACTCTTTTCAAGTCAAACTAGGTCATCCTTTTTTAAACGAAGGGAGTATATATTACAGAAAATTAAAATGAGTCTGGAGTAATAAAATGAGTTTGGAGTAATAGAACCTTAATTTTGTTTAATGTGACTCTGAGATTTCGATCATAATCTAGGGATAGTTGTGCCTTATTCCTAACTGAATTCTTATTAGCAGTTTAGAAATTAAATCTTTGCCGATTTCTCCCAACTTAGCTTTCGAAAGTCAAAACATGTTTAGTAAATACAACAAAGTTAAACTCAAAGAATTAGTAGATAGCCAATGGCACAAATTGTGGTGGGGGATGTGGGGGGGGGGGGGGGATGGGATGGGGCTGGGGTTTTTGTAAAACATTGAAAGTTAAAATGATCATGGATTCATTTATTTTCATGTCACTAATTCTCTCTACCAAAATATCTCAAACATGTCTAAATTTGAGAACTATTATGTCCTTAGCATTTGCAAAACATTACTACTTTGTGGTCTAGTCCTATACTTGTGCACCATTTATTTTTTCAATGACTCTTATCATTTTGCATCTTCTGATCTTTTCTCTTCTTTTAAATCCACAATATCATGTCCATCTACTACTCAAACGACAAGTAGCTCATCCACCAACATTAGTCACATTATTTTTGGACTTTTAGGGTCAGAAAAAGCATGGCACCATAGAAAATCCTATATTGAATCATGGTGGAGACCAAATATTACAAAAGGACATCTTTTACTAGATGTTCCTCCTCAAGGTGATGATCTTCTCCCATGGTCCTTCAATTCACCTCCTTATCGAGTATCCGATAATTTGTCAAAACTTCTTAAGGAAACAAATCATGTTGAGCCAAGAGTTTTAAGAATGGTTCATGGGATTATGGAGGTAGTTAGAGAGGTACATGAAGGGGTAAGATGGGTAATTATGGGGGACGATGATTCTATATTTTTTGTGGATAATATGGTTGATATTCTTGCACAATATGATCATACAAAGTATTATTATTTTGGAGGACATTCAGAATTTATATTGTCAAATTATTGGTACTCATTTAATCAAGCTTTTGGTGGAGCTGGAATTATAATGAGTTATCCTTTGGCTAAAGAATTTGCAAAAAATGTAATGTCGTGCTTAAAGAGATATGCACACTTGAGATCTGCTGATAGAACAACAATGAATTGTATAGCTGATATTGGAGTCAATCTTTCTCCTCTTCAGGGTATTCATCAGGTATTTGACTTATATACGCTGATAGTATCAAAGAAAAAAAAGTCAACCTTCGTGACTATACTATATGGATCTACTTTTCTCTTTTCCCTTAATATATATATACTAAATACTTTAATATTTATGACTTGTAGATTGATCTTCGTGGTGATATATCTGGATTTCTATCATATCATCCAAAGTCTCTATTAACGTCCCTTCATCATTTTGACATGTTTGATCCAATTTTTCCTTCTATGGATCGTGTACAATCAGTGTTCCACCTCCAAAACGTTGCAAAATACGATCAATCGCGCATGTTACAACAAACTATATGCCATCATAGGTCTAAAAGTTGGACATTTTCAGTTTCTTGGGGATATTCAGCTCATATTTATGAGAAAATTATGCCTAGAAGTTGGATACAAAGACCAATTGAAACATTTAGAACATGGCAACCAAGTCCTAATCCACCATATTACATGTTTGATGTTAGAAGTCCTTCTTGGGATCCTTGTGAAGCTCCTCATGTATTTTTCTTCAAGTCCGTTAAGAAAACTCAAAGAGGTGAAATTGTTACTATGTATACTAGAGGATGGCCTCGAGGGATAGGAACTTGTTTGTCTTCTGGAAATTTTTCTGCTGAGTATATTTCTGAAATTCATGTTTACTCACCAACAACCAAACGTATCCTGGTAAGTAATGTTTTCTATGTCCAATAATTTTCTCTCAAAACCTTGTGTTTACATTACAAAATTAAAATTTTTCAATATCTATATATATGTATACACACCTCATATGAATATTTTAGTGATGTTTTGTTTAACTTTCAAAAAATTATACCAACTACTCCCTCCGTTGAAAAAAGAATGACCTCCTTCCTTTTTAGTCTGTTTGAAAAAAGAATGACCTCTTTTTTTTTTGTAACAACTTTCCACGTGAAACGTTTAGGGCCACAAGATCAAATGTATATTTGACATAACTTTAATTTAGAACCACGTGATAAAAAATATTTTTTATTTTTTTAAACTCTGTTTCAAGTTAAACTAGATTATTCTTTGTGAAATAGAGGAAGTATTTAAAACGGGAATTGAATACACGGTCAATGCACGTGACATAAACTAGTGTATAATGTAAGTGGTTCACATAATTTGAGGAAACTATTTCTTTTTTTAAGTTGCTCTTTTTTTCTTTGTTTTCTTCACATATACTCAAGTATTAAAGTATATAACGTTATGAATGAACTAATATATTGAAAGTCAACAAATATCTAATCCGACATCTAAATATTTATTAACCTTTTTTTTTGTCTATGTTTTTGTTTTTTCAGATTGATAAATGTGAATGTTGCGATATAATCCATGAGGCAGGATCAAATAAGGTTGACATCAAATATAGAGAGTGTAAGATAAATGAGATAATAGCTTGATTGATTTGTCGAGTTGTTGTATAAAAATTTGTATTTTTCTTCTTCGTATTTTTTGGGGAAGGGGATATAAAGTAGGAAACCGAACGCTCTTTAACAAGGTGAAAGTTCAGATAGCCAACTAACTGAGCTATAAAGGTTTTCATAAGAATTTATATCAATCTTATTTTCTTGCAATCGAATTTACTTTTTTCAAATGTTATTTGTTATGTATTGTTTTTCAATTATAATGTATCACTTGGGTAGTGAGCCCAAGGTGTAAATTCCAGAGTAGTAGCCTTTAGAAATTCAGCCCAAAGAGAACAATTGATTTTAAGCCTCCATTATCTCCTAATAGCATGGTGTATCAACAATATCATGTGAACTTCTGATAGCCACACCATCTACCTCATTGGGGAGACAAAGGTTAGACCAACTGTTCAAATAATATTTTTTTTATTATCAGGAGTAGAGAAAGATCTTAGCCATGTGTTTTAAGGTCTTTCGAAGATGCTGAAGGAGTGTAAATAGGGAGAGACTAGAGTGAAGGATACTTGATGTTCAATTGTCGATAGTCAATGCACATTTTCATAATCCTATTCTTCTTCCTCAGAAACTATATCGGAGTGTCCCTAGGGGGATGTTAGGTCTAATTATGTCATGATTCAAACTATCGGGCTATGTAAGCACTTACTCTAACATCTAGATAGGAGAATTCTTGCCGTCCGATTTAAAATTGGTAATGCAGGAGTAGACTGAAACCTAGTACTTCATCTTAAGAACACAAGAGAAAATAACGTCAACCTTGATTACATTAAAAAAAAAAAAACTTTCGCATATAGTCACTCAAAAATAGCGTAATTACTCTCCATAGCTATAGTTTGATAATTACAATTCTTAGCTATATGTTATAGGGAGGAGAGAAGCGAGCGAGACTGGGAGAGAGAGGAGAGAGGAGAGAGAGAGAGAGGGCAAAAAGTGGGAGAGAGGTGAATTGTATATGTATATCGGTTAGATAATTATATATAATACATATGTATTTGTATATATGCAAGCGAGATTGGGAGAGGGAGGAGAGTGACGAGCGAGATTGAGAGAGAAAGGAGAGAGGCGAGCGAGAGGGAGCGGAGTGGGGAGTATGTTATACATATGCATTTGTATATATGGCAAGAGAGATCGGGAGAGGGAGGAGAGAGGGCATAGAGTAGGAGAGGTGAATTGTATATGTGAATGATTACATTATTGTATATTATACATATGCATTTGTATGTTTAGGCAAATTATGCATATACAAATGAGGCTAATTATACAAACTCAAAGTCAACTCACGTAATTAATGTATAACGTTAGTCGTGAGTGATAATTATAGTAAACTATAACTATGATGAGTAATTAAGTTGTATAATTTTGATTAACCGCGATAATTTTCCCTTAGAAAAAATCAATTGTAAAATACAAGAAAATCCTCCATCTAGGAAGTACTTGTCTAACAGGTACAAGCTCTAAGAGAAACAAAATCTAAAAATAAGACACAACTTCCATCATTAGAAAGAAGGAGTAGAAATTGTTGGAGAATCATCGTCTTCACCTAAGAAACATCATTAATCCTGCAACAAGACTATACCAAGTGGCATAGCAAGAATAGTATTACTACAGACGACATGTATTGATAGTCATCATCGATCGACCTAAATCACCACATAATATCATACGAATAATTAGAAAGATATAACTGGAAGCTACACAACCCCAATCATTTTACTTTATCCTTACTATCTAGTAATACGACCTCTTAACTCATACACTCTATCCCAAGCCTCTCTACCTCATTTATGTTGTCGATTCCGTCATTAGGAGTCATTCCACCCTCCTGTTAGGTCATAACCTAACCCCTTTATCACATAAAGACTTTATGATCTTGCCCGTCCTACCAACAATGGAACTGTTGTACTAATTATAATGATTATGAATTCAAATCTACCAACTCTCTTTGTTAACCAATCTAGTGCCCTTTTTAAGATTCCCTACTGACACCATAGATAATTTAGTGGACAATCTATAAAACTCTTGCTTACCCACTCCCCTCTTAACTGAAATCATACATGACTCAAGCTTCCTCGTCGGTGACCTGAACCATCCAAGGATCCCTAAAATATCATCCATAGTGGATAATATGAAATCTTGGTCTAAACAAGAACCATCCCATCAATTGAACCCATCAACCCGGCCACTCATAGACCTATATAAAACAAACATGTACCGAGTGTGGTACCTGATTAAACCAATATAGATTTTGTAGCAAGTGTGGTATCCCATCAATTATTAGAGAACTTGTATAAGGGCATGGTACTCAAGCCAACTAATAGATTTTTCGTATCAAGTGTGGAATCTGTGTCAATCAAAAAAAATTACCAACCTGGTATTCGAGCAAATTGAGAATCATAGACATCACACAATCACAATCACAATCAAAATGAATACAATCACAATTGTAAGACTACAAGCATTAAAAAAAAATTCATTGCATGAAATTGACAACAAAATATTATTTCACATTCGTCCCTTTTACTCCTAATCACATTTTGCACAAGTGAAATAGTTAACGTGCATATAAAACTTAAATTGGAAACAACTCAAACATTACCTAACTTTAACCCATCTAAAATTCAATTACCCAAAGATTACAATCATAGAAGCTAACACTCGTCGGCCTTCATAAAGGCATTACATACCACCGTAGTTTCTCAACATAAATAGAAATCGAGAATCACCGACCAGGTAGGCAATGCGCCAAATCTCCCTTTCCATCGCCTTCTTGACTTGACTCTTCACCATTAGCTCTTCTGTACCTTTAGGCGATCAGGATCTCCATCGTCGATCCAATCGGCGGATCACCGAAATGTCATTTACATAGTCGAGTTGGCTTTTTCCCAGGGCTGGTATTAGCCGAGATGAAAGGCCACTCGGCAAATCGCCGAGTCTTCTTGGCGATCGTTAGATTTGTTTTTCTTTCATTGTTTTATCTAGTAATGTTCTTGCCTTGCACTTTTGCCTTCATAGCTTCAAATAAGCACTTAATTAACATCTTTTTAAAGCATAAAATATGCATTTAGGACATTAAATTTTAGATATCTATCCCTAAGTGGGTCAAAATTCCCGACTCATTATCATGTCTCAACAATTCAGAAGGTCTATATATTCAGTTGAATCGGATAATTACAAATGGAAAAGTATAATAAAATGTCGAGTAGTACTCCAAGAAATCACAGTTGTAAGTTTTGAAGTTGTGTGTATTTTCAAAGGTAAAAAATTTAAGTTGTTCACTTCAAAATTTCTGAATATACCCTTGTTTCCTTATTTTGTTCTCTCATAAGAGGAATTGTTGTCTTTTTGGACCTCAGTAGTTCTTAACTATGATTGTAAGAGAATAATAGAAAACTTCATGTGAGAAGTTAATAAAAAGAATTATAAATCACCCATTTGTGGGCAAACTATCTTTAAAATGTGTGATATTTTTGTAGGTTTTGGGGTGAGTGACAGAATTGAATTTGTTTATCACGAACGCTATAAAAGAGTAAAGTGTTCATTTTGATCTGTATTTTAAGACAGGTCCCTGTAGACGCATAAATTGTATTGGATCAAATTCATATAAATTTTGAATTTAATCCATTCATTTGGGCTGAATAATTAATTTGGGCTTTACAAATAAATAAGTCCATCTTATTAAATTCAAATTCAAGGTTCATTTCATCTTGAAGCCCGAACTCATGCCATGTGTCACAGTGACTAGGCATCCAAGACCAACAAGGTTTGCAAGAACAAATCAAAATGCGTCAAGTGTCAAAATGACATCTTTTGGCCAATCACAAGCAACCTTATTCACTCCCTACAACTATAAATAGGGGATAGACATGACATTGAAAGGGGATCCTGAAAACTATTCAACAAGCATTCAGCAAATTGGAGAAAGTTACAACATCAACATCAATAGTTCTTCGAAGGAGTGATCAACGGAGTTCTTCCCAGATATCAACTTACAACGACGAAGCGCTTTTCGACGTTCAGGAGATAGACAACATCTCAAGGAGGTCTACATCATCCAACAATTCAGGAAATACGATACTGAAGACCCTCGAATCTCATAGAAACTTAGGAGAGAGAATCAAGAGAACAACGGAATTGTACTCATAACGATTCATTAATAAAATCACATTTTTCTTTTATTTATTTTGCTTGTAGTCGATTTTCAGCGCTTACGAAAATTTGTTGCGAACAGTCCCCTTTTAATATGTAGTAACTGAAAAGTGTCTCCTTTTGAAGCCAAACTCCACGACACTAAGTGTTTGGCTATAGATTTCAAATATTCTTGGCAAATATTATTTGGGTGAAATTTCACCATGTGTTTGGCCATAGTATTTGGAAATATATAATTTTTTTAGAAAAATATTATTTATACCCATAAGTTTTAAAAATATCAAAACTAACCATAAGTTTGTATGACAAGTCAATTGGATCTTTGTTACAACAATAACAAATAGTGTCCATGACACTAGAGCAATGTGGTAATTTTGAATGAGTGCAACAAGCATCATTTCATACATCGTGAAGTAGACAAAATATATGACTTTGTTATCTTGAGACGATTATTCATCATTTTCATCAATAATCATATTATAATTTCACATTCACCGAATATTTCATCACTACTTTGGAATTAATGTAAAATATTATGTAATACAACGTAAGCAACAATTATAGAGGGTGTTTTTGTAAAAGATAAAAGTTTGGGGACTTTCAATTTTTAAAAGATCCCAAATAATGAGATTTGACTCAAATACTAGAAAAAACTAGTATTTGGAAATTTGAGATATTTGCCAAATAACGACAAAGAAATCTATGGTCAAATGGGCCCTAAGTGTTGGGATTTTATTTTTATTTTCATATACTTATTTTTTATCATAGATTTTGTATGATTTTAAAATAATTGTTCATGTCTTACTTCCACATTAATTACTTTATTTTTAAATATATTAGATTAGTAGATTGGGCACTTATCTATGAGAGGAGAAGATACATGTCACGATGATTTGACTTGTGGCTTTTGGATTGTGACAGAGGAATATTATTTTTAACAACTTACTTAGCTTGGGAATCCTATATTATTCTCATAAAATGATACTTAGCTTGTCCCATTCTTAAGTAGGTGCAGGCAGATTAATCCTATATTTCGTTAGAGCAACTTATAAAAATGACTATATTTATAGAATTATTAAAGTTAATAGCTATAAGTGTTAATATCCCTACTCTTTCGAAATAGGGCGAAACGTCACGGCAACTCGAAAATAAATTAATTGTTTCAATTTTAATAAAGTTGTAAAAATAAATGAGTTTTAAAAAGAATCGCCACCTAATTTTAGGAAAACTAGGAAACCAATTATTAATCTACGAAACCAATTCGATTCTATGTAAGGGGTTCAAGTTATTCTGAAGGGAAGGGGTTAGGCACCCTTCGGAATCCACAAATGTGGTTCCCGACTGAATTAATTTTTTTTTCAAATTGAGGAAGAATATATTAAACACATATAATAAACACACAATATACACAATAAAGCAATAATTATCGGCCTAAAGTTTGCCTAACGTCAATATTCACAAAATAATGAATGAAATATAATTCAAACTTTTTCGAATAATTTCAAGGAGAAGCACCTCCGGATACCTGTAAAGACACTTGATAAAAGAGTTAAGGCCAAATAAATATAACTAAAAATGAATAACTCAAATAATAATTTAAGAATAAAAATCCGTC